AAGGTTTGTCTGCACTACATGTCTCCTTCTCTGTCTTCTCTGTTCTGCTCTACCCCGTTACAGCATCTCTGGCATTTTATCTCTCGTACATTATTTTTCTCTGCGCTCCCTTTGTGTTGCATCTCCCTCCCACCTGTGTATTCTCCATTTCACACTCCCTCTCTTTCTCTCTCTCCCCCTCTTCCTCTCACTGCTTCCCTGATATTGATCTGCATTCTAGCCATACAGCTGAACCGCCTTCGGCTCTGCAATGAGCTCACATCTCACTTCTGCCTCTGCATGTATGAGAGTATGCTTGCAGGGGGGAAAGCATTTCAAAATTCCCCATTTGTTTCAGTGTCACTGCAAACGAAACATAAAGCTATTTAATAAAAAATAAAAAGTTCTTTTCTGGGAAAAATGTTGGCCACTACGAGTACCCCGTGCTTTTGTGATCATTTGTGCATTTTTATAGCTTCTGACTCGTGTTACAGTATTTGTAGACATTTCTGGTCCAACAAGCCAAAGACAGTTCACTTTATTCTTTGTGCCTTGTTTCTTGTGCGGTGTAAAGTCGCTAATTCTCGTCAAGTACGAGTGTTCTCGTTACGAGGTGTCACTTTCATGGAATCTTTAAGTGAATGGGAGCTGGTCCTATTATCACGTTGAGGCTTGAAATTTTATTCCCACTCTCGTGTGATCCCTCAGTGGTGGATTGAGTTTCTAAATTTCTTTGGGTCAGCAGAAAACCTTTTTGTTATCGAATACCACCGAAAGACCTTCCTCTTCTGAGAGTACTGGCTTACACAGGATTTTTTGTTTCACCGTTTTCCTTGGTGTCAAGGAATGAAAGATAAAATGCTGCTTTTTTTTTTTTTTTTTTTTTTTTTGCTGAGTGCTTGTGTGTTGATTTATGCACCTGTGAGACTTGCAAATGGCATGTTAAAGTTCTGTTTTCTTTATGATTTTTCCTTGATCTACTCTGGATTTGACTTCAGTTGATGTCAGGGGAGTTCTGGTAAATGTTTATGGACGTTTATCACTGCTAATGTTAAATTAATGTTGACCATGTGTGTGAGCTCAGAGAGGAGCCTGCAGGCACCTTACGCCTCCGAGTCTAAGAGGCCGAGGTCATCGTGCTGATAAGCGTGTATAAAAACACTTCCTGTACCCTGCCCGTTGCAGATTGTCATGACGAGGCTTTAAGCGTAACTTTGAAACATCTGTGTAAGCCTGTGGTGAACTCTGCCCTTGCAAATAAACTGGTTAAAAAAATATTCTCTTTTCGTCGAGCGTAGCTTATTTGAGTAAGTAAATAATGCAAGGATATTTTTATCCAACAGTTGACTTTTGCAAACGAAACGGTTGTGATTGTTTCATTACTCAAGAAATTGTTCACATGAAAGTTTAGCTTGTTGGTCAAAAAAACAACTCGCTTTAAAACGAGAGTGGAACAGTGTTGTTTCTGTTTAACGAAGTTTCTTTTGAAAGTTGTCACAAATAACGGATGTCTTTTCAATGAGTCTGAGCTAATTAGAATTTGAGTTGGCGTGTTCCAATTTAATCCACCAAACTGGTTCTATTCTGCCTCTTTACTGAGTATGTTGGTCTTTTTTTTACAGTATGGTTCCACAATATGGCTGCAAAGACATGCTCCTCTCATCAGAGCCCTAAGTTGATTGTTCATAAATGCACCAAAATGGACCCAACAAATAACAGCTGTAACATTAGCTGTTTACTCACCAACTTGGCTCAGTGACTACCTCCCTTGCTGGCTCAGAGGTATAACAACAACTGGTTGACTTCAGCTCTTGGTCAATTCAAAAATTACAACCAAAGCCAAGATTAACACTTAGAAACAATTATTTGTGTCTCAAATAACTTTTCCTTAATAAATGCACTTTGACGGTCAAATCAGCTGTGTTTCAAAAGCCGATACGCAGAAGTAGGCATGTGCACAGGAGGACTCGCTGTGCATTTCTTTGAAATTTAACAAGATAACAACCTAAAAGCAATTATTTGTTTGCTCGACTTTATAGTAAAGTTGTGTCTCAGTTTAACTTTTACTTAATAAAAGGACTTTAACGGTCAAACCACCTGCATTTCAAAATTATTCGCTGCCTCAGTGCTCTGGGAGCGCGCAGACAGGGAGGAAATCGGGAAGAAGGAACGCTGCGCAGTTCTTCAAAATTTAACAAGAAAAGCACCTATAACAATTGTTTGCTTGAGATTATAGTAAAGGTGTGTCTCAGTTGAACCTTTACTTAATAAATGCACTTCAATGGTCAAATTAGCTTCATTTCACCGGGGCGGTGCAGCGAAATTAAGCTGATTTGACTGTTGTTCCAAGCGAGCTGGACAAAGGTGGAAGCCGATTGTGTCATTAATAGCCACTTTTACCTATTACATGACACAATGACATGCCATATTACTCAAATGCCATCTAGTGGCTGAAAATGGTAGTGTTCAATATTTTCAGTCAGTATGAATGAAAATGGTCATAACTCAGCCAAAAATTGGTTTATAAACATGGGAAAAAAAAAGATAAATATGACGCTTTGGCGTATAAGTCACAGGGCTCGCAAATTATGCAAAAAACACGATTTATAGGGCGAAAAATATGGTAGGTCTAGATTGAAAGGGTTTTGCTTTGCTAAGACATTTTAAAGTATAAATTTATTTTTCTTAACTTCCAAAGCAGCTTGATTGGCTCCAAGCTATTCATTTGTCAACAAGGCTAGATACCGAAGCAAAAGAATGATACTTAAAGCTTGATGTAAAAAGGCTTTTTCATGAAGTTTTTGGTTTGTCAAGTAGATTTACTTGTGATCTGTCATCAGTGTTGTTAGTTAATACAATAGATGATGGGCAAATTGTTCATATAAGTATTTTAATGTCTGTCCTTTTTAAAGCTGTGTCATTGAATGTACTTTGTGTTACAAACCTTCATGCAGTTCTGGTTTCTTTTGTCTTCATAGACAACCCATTTTTTGCAAGTAATTTTCTTCATTAGTTGTGACAAGTGATTTTTCCTCATTCATTGTTAAGAATACAACAAAGTAATCAATACTCAGTGGATTAAAAAAGCTGCACTTTCTCATTTTATAGCTCTTCGTTTATTACCAGAGAATTTCTACAGAAGTTTACTAACAGTGTAACTTTTATTTGTATTTAGAAGTCAAAATTTCTCACCCCCAAGTCAGAACAATCAATTGGAACTCCCCCTGAAGTCAGAACTCTCACTTACAAAGTTGAAAGTTTCTCACCAGCCTCAACCTTTTATGTCTGTTGGGAAATTCTGTGTGTGAATGTCTTTAAATGAACAGTCGACCCTTGAATTTCTCCTTAGGATGTAAAAAGTGTCTCTATAACCTCTATATCTAACTTGACAACTTCTCGTATAAAAAAGTGATCAAAGCTACAATAATTAACTATTTTCACTTTTGTCTGTTTGTCTTTAATTCACTCACACACAGTACTGTCTAATCTCGATTAGGGGATGTCACTACAGCATTTGAATGCATCAAATGCAGATAAATACATTGTTTTCAGACTTTAGTCTGAGGCAACAATTAGAACAGATTTGCCAATTTGTACCTGGAACACTATGATGTTGGATGTGACATTATTCCCAGATCCAAGTTCTAGCTCCTGAATTAAATCAAACCCTGCATAAGGTTCAGGTTAGGTTTATTTGTCATGTGCAAAATCAACACAAGGTTAAGAATGCAATGAAATGTGAAGAATCGTCTCGACTCGCCAAAAAATAAAAAATAAAACAACAAGAAATATCAAAGCATACAGCAAAAATATTAAAAACATACTAAAAAATACTACTAACATACTTAAAAATATATTAAAAAATGCTACTAAAATACTAAAAAACAAGGCGCCAAAGTTGAAAAAGAAATACATCTACAGTGTGTTTCGCTTAGCAGTGAGGTTCTTTCATCGTTGTGGTTCTGTTCTCTTAGCAGCATGGTCTTGTTAGTAGCTTAGCAGGTCTTGTTAGCAGGTCCGGTCTGCAGCTTGGTGGTAATAACGACCACAGCAGCTGCCCTCACAGACCGCAGTCCAGAACCAGGTCTAGTAGACGGAGAACATCCAAGGTTTCCCCGCGGAGCTGAACGGGTCCATAGAGTTTGGTCCGTGCAGGCAGATTGAGGCTAGCGTTAGC